CTAGTGCAATGAGAGGGTGCGATCTCGTGCTGTTCTTCCGCGGGCAGGGCACATCTCAGTTGCGCCTCTGTTCTTTGACAGAGTTGAACTCTGATCGAAAACAGAGACGCAACTGGGAAATGATAAAAACCTACCCGGCATAACGCCAGGTAAGTACATAAGAACCTGTAATTATTCTTTTATAAAACTACATAGCGGAAGATGTTGGGGAAATGATTGCAGCCCCCTCACCACCTTAAAATTACCTTAAACGAAAATTAAATCCAATTTTGCATTCAAGTCTTCTGACGAGTGGATGTATTTCCGCGAACCTCAGAGTAATGACAAGAGAACTGAACATTGAATTTTATTCATTATTATTACTTATTTATCATTAACACTTAGGAGACGACAGGGCCAATATACAGGCCAAAAAGTCGAATGACGAAGAAAACGATTGGGCCGATCCGTCGGCCCGATAATACAGGCCTCGAGATTAGCTGACTGGTTTTCGTACCAGCCAATCAGATTGCTTCTCACATTTCTTGCACATCTGGACCTTCCAATGGCGATTTCTATGATAGTTTGCTGTGTTCTGTGATTTTACATCGATTTCTTTTGTGTTCCAAGTGAGGGCATGGGAAAAGACCTAATAATGTTACCCTTGACGACACACGCACCTCGACCATAGCATTAGATCTCGAAGGGCTTCGACAAGGTGTGGCACAAAGGTTTTCTACACAATCTCTCCAGCTATGGAATCATTGGAAGGGTTTTCTCAATTATAATATCCTTCCTAACAAGTAGATCCCTGAAGGTAGTTATTACCTGCCAGTCACCCGAAGCCCTAGTGGTCAACGCATGCGCCCCTAAGGGATCACTTCTCGGACCAACTTTCTGATTTACATAAATGATCTGTCTAATAATATATTCAGATCATTTGTAAACCTATGCCGATGATACGACAATATACAGGCGCACCTCTAAAACTCTTGACGATTAGAGATTGGCAGCTGACCTCTCTCTTCCGATCTAGCACTAACTTCCCAGTTAAGACAAAAAAAAAATGGCTGGTTACATTCAATGACACGAAAACTAAATTAGTTACATTCTATCATCGCCGATCGGACTTCGAACTACCGCAAAATAGATCCTTCCTTGCCCTCCTTAGAATGTCTGACGTTCAGCTTCTCGAGATCAACTCTCTGCGGCTGCTCGGTCTCACGTTAACTGCTGACCTGAGATGGAACAAATACATTGAGTCAATTGCCTCGTCCACCGCAAGGAAAGTTGACTCCCTGTGCCGCGCCAGGAAATTTTTCTCTCCGGAATCGATCCTCCAGATCTACAAATCAACAATTCGCCCTTGCATGGAGTATTGCTGCCATATATGGTCTGGTGCCCCTTCTGTTTGCCTCGGGGTTCTTGATAGGCTCCAGAGGCGGATATGCAATATAATTGGCCCTGCTCTGGCATCTCGTCTACAGTCACTTTCTCACAGACGCACTGTCGCCTCTCTCTGTCTGTTCTACAAATACTTTCATGGTAATTGCTCCGAGGAGCTGCATTCGCTGGTTCCCAGACTTCATGAGTTCATGCGCCCTACGAGGCTGGCATCCTGTTCTCACCCCTTCACTGTAGAAACTTCTAAATGTAGCCGTCTCTTCTACTCTAATAGCTTCATGTCTCGCACCCCTCGCCTGTGGAACTCCCTTCCCTATTCCAGTTTCCCTGAGAGCTATAATCTCCAGCTATTCAAGTGTAATGTCAATCGACATCTCCAGTTACCTTGATCTATCCACTACCCTTCTCCTCATACCCTCTTCTATCACTCCTATCTGATCTCGCTCTATATTTTCTGTAATCCCTTGCATCCTAGTGGCTTCCCGCCTTGCTTGGGGTGAAATGCTTTAAAAAAAAAAAAGTAATGATGAATGGATGTACCCACGAGAAGGCACCGTGCCTTGAAAGAGTATTGGGTCTCAAACTCACACCTGGCCTCAAGTGGAACTCGTACGATCCATCGCTAAAAATGCAGGTATCGCTCCAGTAAGTTCCTGACTCCTCATGTTATAAGAGCCAGATCAAACCGAAAATAGAGTACCGTTGCCATATTTGTGCCGTGAGGTACCAAGGCTTCACTTTCCAGGTTTTATTAGAGTTGAAAAAGCATCTCCGAGTACTTGTGAGCAACGAATTATTTTCCAAACTATAACATCTTTCCTACAAGTGGGATGTAGCGAGACTCTTACTGCCCTGTCGCTAATTCCATGGAAAGTAATCGAACGAACTACATTCCTTGGTTCCGCCAGGTCTGACTTTTACGTCTACGACCCGCCATGCCATATTACATAGTAGCAGACCACCTACATTCCGTCCGTGAATTCCATAGGCGAGAAGTAAATTCCATTCTACCAGCTTCTTCCTGCAAACCACTGACATGCGGAACCAACTCCCAAGAGGATGTTTCCCCGATCACTACACTCTTAACCAGTTCAAGTCTAGAGTTAACCGTTATCTTCTCCATCTATCCGTATAAATTACCCCTTAACGTAAACCTCTACCTTGAGTGACCCCCGGGTCTTGTACAGGTTGTAAAAAAATTATTGAGTTCGATCACCACTGCAAAAAAAAAAAAAAAAAAAAAAAAAAAAAAAAAAGAAGACTCTTTCATGTCAATTTAAATTAGTTTTTGAAATACAACAAAATATTTTGCTTATTGGAAATATTAAATTTAATCTATGAGCTTGAAATTAAAACTAAAATAAAAACCTTAAGAAAGATTTCACATTTAAAAAAATTCTTTGGTTACAGATCCTAAAATGATATCCTTTTACTATATATATATATATATATATATATATATATATATATATATATATATATATATATATAAACACAAATATGAAATTACCTGGAAAAAGTTTTCCTTTATTTGTTTATTTATTTTCTTCCTTCCTAGATATTCTTACCCTCAGTCTATTCATTGCCCTTTGCAAAATTGGGAGTATACAATATCTCTCACCCTGACTAGATTATCACTAACAGTTAATTTGCACGTTATATTTTTATAGTCAATAACTTACAGGTACCTCCACAAAAATCACGACAGCTAAGGTTTGAATTAATTTCTTAAAGCTTTCATTTTAGCTTTAATTGAAAGCTAAAGTATTTAAATTTCCAGTCAGCAAAATACTCTGGTGTATTTCGAACAGAAATGATATTGATTGGAATCGATTTTCATTTTTTTATTAACATCGATGAACTCATCTATTTTTGAGACATTTGTAAACACAAGTTAGTTCTCGGCTTTAAAGATCTTGCAAAAATAAAGTATACTTTTCTCAAATTTTATTTATTTAAAAGTATAATTAATCTGATTTGGAACAAATATTATTTACTTTAAATTTGAAATATCGCAGAAAGCATTTTTTTAAGTCGACAGTAGATGTTTTTTCTTTAAATCGGCAATAGCTGATCAGAGGTGTTGACAGCGTGAGGACACATCTACTGTTGTTCTACGGAGACCTTATCTGTAAAACATAATTTAAGAAAATGACGTGAGCGCCTTTTTAATATAATTTTTAAATACTTAGTATTCTTAAATTCTCCGCAATCTAATATTTTATTGAATTTTTAAAATCTCGGCTTTAAATTTAATATAGTTATCGCTCTTATTTTTCTGATAATGTCGCATATGGTCGATTACATTTACAAAAATCGTCAGGTTTATACACTAATAACAAAAATTTAAAATTATTTTTAAAATATTGGTGTGTGATGATTTGTATTAAGCTTTTCCGTTTATCATTAGTAAATATAGTTCTCAATAATAATATAATCTAAAAGGCTGAAATTAATACAGAATTTTAAAAGGTTTAAAATTTAATAATTTTTTCTAATTAAGATTTTTAAAAATGAAAAAATTCCTTTAAAAATTCATTAATCATCAAAAAACTTTTTTTCTCGTGTCAATAGTGACCTTCATATATCTTCTTATTTATAAAAGCAATTAAAAACTTTTCTAGTTTTATTGTATTTTTTATTTTACGATTCAGAGCAGATTTTCGGTAAATGCTGTTTTTGTTTGACGAAAACAAAAATGATGATTTAAAATTCTCCAAGGACTCCTGTTTTTGTTTTTTTTTTAACTAATTAATTAATATTTCAGCACCTTCATATTTATAATAAATATGAAGGTGCTGAAATATTAATTTCTCGAAATTTCATAAAATTAAGTAAGTAAATGATGTAAAAAATATTTAAAAATAACTGTATTCATTTGTGAATAAGTCCTGAAAGTTTTATTAACATCCGACAATTATTTGATTTTTGCTAGAAATTCCAAAACAATGTGTTTTTTTTTTACCGCAAAAAGACTCTAAAATTCCCATAGTAATATTTGGCCCACCACCGACGCAAAAAAAAAAAAAAAAAAAAAAAATTAACCAAAATTTTGAACGTGTTTGAAAGAATTAAAAAATTTAATAAGATAATCAAAAAATACTTCAGCCTTTCCTCTTCTTAATAATTTTATTTTTGTTTGACGATAAAACTTCGCTCTCATCAAGTTTAGGGTCTTTTAGTTTTAAATTATGCTATGGATGCTCTTTTTTTGCGAAAAAATTGACAATCACGTATTGGTTCAATAAAAATAAAATTGTTTATCATAACTTTTACTTTTCATATAAAAAAAAAGTTAATTATTACGAATATTCTTGCCTCCCCAGTGAAAAAAATTATCAGAGGGTGCCTATGACTCCGGTTATTGCTCTCATGCTTCAAGGGTTTAAAAAATAAGCTAAAAATACTTTCAACTTACAAGTAAAACTTCTTAAAAAGTTTACCCAAGTCAAGTAATTTGGCTGAGAAATAATTTCTTTTTAAACCATTTTCTAATTTTCTATCAGTTCCTTGGAATCTTAGAATATAAACATGTCTACATGAGTTATTAATCGTTAAACTATGTCAGTGAATTAATGCAACAACTTTAGAAAAATGGTGGGTAGAACCAACAGAATATGCTGCTTCCATGGGATCACAAGATTTTCTTTGCAACAACCAACCAGATATTTCGAAAATATAGGGAGTGTTAAAACTGGAAGCTTGGGTAGCAGCAGTCGATAACTCGGGTCAGCCAGTCTTCTTCTGTTTCTGGTTTGAAAACTTGTTTGAATCTTAGAGTTTTCTTAATCCGCTTAGGAAGGTATAATTATGTTTCTTATTCTCTTTATGGAAATATCTAGCTGTGTTATTTTATTTTTACCAGTTTTTTGGGGTTTTGCATGTGTCTAATGATTTCTTTCGTTTTTCTTCTTTTTTTTCTTTCTTTTTTTAAAAATCTGTTTATTTGTTTATTTCAGCGTGTCTTTGGCGTAGCGTGACAGGAAGCATTTGTTTCTTATTTGTATAATAAATAAATAAATAAAAATCCTGTCGAACTGTTGAGAAGAAGCATTGCTGAAAATCCCTGTCGTCTGTTCTTGAATTTTTCAAAAGATAAAGATGTGGAACTGGATTTTACAGATCCTGCTTTTAGTGTTTTTTGGACTGAATATCTCCAAGGCCGATGAGAATCCGGTAAGTAATTAAAAAATAAACATTTTCTTTTAAATCTTTGATACAAAACAAATTTAGTTTATTTATTTATTTAATTTAATTTTTATGTGTTTGTTTTTCAAACATTAATCTCTTACGATAAACAAAAAAAGTTTCAACGGTTTCGATCGTGCAAAACAAAATCGTTACTTTCTTTGTCGAAGATTTGATTATTGGTTGTAATCTTAAAAATCTTTTGTTTTGAATCTTTGCTAGTTTCTTTTTTTAGCTTTTTTATTATTTTTAACTTAATCAATGGATCTCCTGTTTTTCTTTTCTTTTTTTTAACCAATATAAGTAAAGACAATTTTTATTTTTCCTCTTACTTTTTTTCTTGTTTTTAATTTTAAATGAAAAGATTCAGGCAAAATCACTCAATACAATTATTCATCGTTTAAAATATGAATGTCCTTTTCTTTGCTATATGATTTTTGCTTCTTTGTCCGTAGTCGTAATTAAAAGTGGCAGATATTTTTAATTTTATAAAATAAATATTTCCTGTTTTTTTTTAGTTAATAAATATTCAGCGCAGATATTTAAGATTTTCTTCTTCGACTTTGAAAAAAAAGTAAATTAAAATTTATTTATATTCGCCATATGAGGAATGGTAAAAAATTATTTTAAATCAAAATTTAAATTTAAATGCCAAATTTAAAAATCATTCGAAAAGCAAAGCTTGGATCATCATCATCATCATCATCATCATCATCATCATCATAATAATAATAATAATAATAATAATTATTATTATTATTATTATTATTATCATCATCATCATTCGATTTCTGCTATGGACACACTACCTACCAAGTCTGCGGAAAGACCTAAGGCAGGTCGTGGTGTGTTGTTATGGCCACATTTCATGTTAATTTTTTTTTTTTTTTTTTTTTTTTTTTTTATCTCCGATGAAGTTGCTAGCGTTACATAGACAAAGTTCTCCTTAGTGTGTGTGCTGTACTTAATAAGACAATTTTCTGTATGTCTCTTAAGCTGGGGTTTCCAGGATTCTTTCAATGTGTTGTTTTGTTCCATTTTTATAATTCCAAGTGCACCTATTACCACTGGTATTATTCTTGTTTTCAATTTCCACATTTTTTCTATTTCAATTTCCAGGTCTTTGTATTTTGATAGTTTTTCAAATTCCTTGGTTGCTATGTTACAATCCGCTGGACAAGCCATATCAATTAGTAGGCAAGTTTTTTCTTTCTGGTTTTTGACAATAATGTCCGGCCTATTTGCTTCAATTTTTCTGTCTGTGTGGATGGTATAATCCCATAGAATGGTGACATCTTCTATTTCTGTAACCGGCGCTGGCCGATGTTCATACCAGTGTTTGCTTACACATTTTCCAAAGTGTTTGCACATTGTCCAGTGTAAGTATTGCCCCACTCTATCGTGACGATTTTTTATATTCATTTGGGGCAAGTATAGAACATCCTGAGATTAGATGGTCTATTGTTTCTTGGTATTTGTCACAGAACCTGCATTTTGGATCCACATTATTATGTATGATATTTGCCTGAAAATTCCTAGTGAAAAGACTCTGGTCTTGCGCTGCAAGAATAAAGCCTTCAGTTTCAGACTTTAATCCAGATGCTCGTAACCATCGGTGAGTATTAACTTTATCAACATTGGGTTTATTTGCACGTTCTGGATATTGGCCATGCAGAGGTTTGTCTTGCCAGCGTTGTTTCATCTGTTCAAGGGCTTTATCCTTGGCTTTCTTTTTCATATCTTTTGCTGCAATAGTTGGTTCTTGGCTTCTGTTTTGATTTACTACAGAATCTACTAAATGTAAATGTTGTTTGTATTTACTGCCTTCTTTTATTATTGAATATTTTTTTCTTTCTGTTTTCATGTTGTTTCACTAATTTTATCATCCAGTCATTTGTTGTTTCCATGTAAGTTAGTAAGCCAATAGTTGTTGTCTTGTATGACAATTCTAGCTGAATAAGACCTCTTCCACCTTCTTTACGGGGTATGTATAGACGGTCTACATCAGCCTTTGGATGATGCATCTTATACTTAGAAAGAAGCTTTCTTGTTTTAGAATCCATTTGTCTGATGTCATTTAGAGTCCAGTTCAAGATGTTGAAACTATATTGGACCACTGGGATGGCAAGGTTATTAATGGCCATAATTCTGTTCTGAGAATTCAATTCAGTTTTTAATACCAGTCGTACCCTTCTATAGTACTCTTTACGCACTATTTCTTTCATTTTCTTATGGTGAATTCCTTCACTCTCATTTACACCTAGGTACTTATAAGCTTCTCCTTGTTCTAAATCTTTTATTGTTACAGCAGGGTCTAAACTAATAGAGGAAGTTTGTTTGTAGCGATCCTCGTAAAACTGTAGCTTTAGCACATTTATCCAAATTGAATTTCATTCCAATGTCTTCACTGAAGCATTTTACAGTTTGCAGAAGACCTTCCAGCTCATTGTCATTCCTAGCATACAATTTTAAGTCATCCATGTAAAATAGATGGTTTATTTTCTTTTGAGCTATTTTTGTAACCGCATTCTGTCTTGTTGTTGGCTGGTTAATGCTATAAGTGATATGCAAAATAATAAAAGGAGACAAAGAGTCACCTTGAAATATTCCTCTATTGATGTTTATTTCGCCAGACTTATAGGTTCCATTTTTATGATTGAGGTAAAGTGTAGTTTTCCATATCGACATACATTGTTTGATGAAATTGATGATAACGGGTGATACCTTGTACATACTTAAAGACTTTAAGATCCAGGAATGTGGTACACTATCGAATGCTTTACGATAATCTATCCAGGCAATACTAAGATTTTTTTTTCCACGGAAGCAGTTTTCCAGGATCATCCTATTAATAAGTAATTGGTCTTTACATCCGTAGCAGCCTCGTTTGCACCCTTTTTGTTCAAGTGGTAGTATGTCATTTCTTTCCAAGAAGAAATATGTCTGTTTTGTTAAAATAGATGTTAACAGTTTGTATGTTGTTGGAAGACATGTAATTGGTCTATAGTTTTTCGGAATATTTGTGTCACTATTTTTGGGTAGAAGAAAGGTAACTCCTTTGGTCATCCATGCAGGAATTTTAGTTGGATCGGTAACCATTTCTTGAAGTTCTTTGGCGTTATTATTATTATTATTATTATTATTATTATTATTTATTTATTTATTTATTTATTTATTTATTTATTTATTTATTTTTCTTTGATTTCTGACGTTTACACATTTCTTTCCGGGTCCCGCCGAAGGACCTAAGGTTATAAATGGCATCAACTTTCCACTGACAAAAAAAAAAAAAAATTATTATTATTATTATTATTATTATTATTATTATTATTATTATTATTATTATACAAGACAACATTTGTACAAAGATTTATAATTTTTTGTTGATTTATATTTTTATTTTATACTTGAATTTTTAAAAAAATATAACCTCAAGAAGACATTCTGTTTTTATTCTTTAAACATTGTCAAACACTGTTTTTCCTTTTTATTTCCATAAATCGCGCTCTTCTTAACACTTAACTGTTTAAAAATACTAGAATTACGCCAATCATTTTGTTTATTATTATTATTATTATTTTTATTTTCTTTGATTTCTAGTATTATTATTATTATTTTTTATTTTCTTTGATTTCTGGCGTTTATACATTTCTTTCCGGGTCCCGCCCAGGAACCTAAGGTTAGAAATGGCGTCATGACACTTTCCACTGACAAAAAAAAAAAAAAAAAAAATTACATAGATAAAGCCCTTCGTAAAGTGTGGGCTGTACCTGTCAGAACGATTTTTTGTATCTCCTGGAGGCATGGACTTCCAGGAATCCCTTCAATTAGTCTACTGGAATCTTTTCCAACCAGTCCTAGGGTTCCAACTACAACAGGGATTGTTGATGTTCCCATATGCTACATTTTCGAGATTTCTATTTCAAGGTCCTTGTACTTTGACAACTTTTTGAATATCTTTAAAGATACATTGCAGTCAGCAGGGACTGCCATATCAATAAGGAGGCATTGTTTTTGTTTGTGGTCTTTAATAACAATATCTGGCCGGTTGGCCTTGATTGTTCTGTCAGTGTGTATTGTGTAATCCCATAGAATTGTAACAGGTCCTATCTCCGTAACCGGGTATTATTATTATTATTATTATTATTATTATTATTATTTTCTTTGATTTCTGGCGTTTACACATTTCTTTCCGGGTCCCGCCCAGGGACCTAATGTTAGAAATGGCGTCATGACACTTTCCACTGACAAAAAAAAAATTACATAGATAAAGCCCTTCGTAAAGTGTGGGCTGTACTTGTCAGAACAATTTTTTGTATCTCCTTGAGGCATGGACTTCCAGGAATCTCTTCAATTAGTCTACTGGAATCTTTTCCAACCAGTCCTAGGGCTCCCACTACAACAGGGATTGTTGATGTTCCCATATGCC